CACCTCTTTTTTGCCATTGCAGACAGTCCCCCCCTTACAGCGACCGATCAAGATCCAGTTTGGATCAAATGAACTCATGCCCACTAAGACTGCTTAGAATATTGGTGTCATGATTCAGAAGGATCAGACTCTTACTGACAGAGCACACAACCCTGCTCCTGGTACAGACTTCTCACGACAACCACTGCAACCCCTTACAGGCAGGCCTCTCTAAACCTCCACAGATGATCCACTCCAATGTTCATCTCTTTCTACTGGCTTCCAGTAGCAACCACCATCAAACAGAAAGGCTGACTTCGTTTCCACAAACCTGCAACAAAATTAGCTCCTACTAACCTTAAGTCAATCGTGCACTAGCCTGGCTGGGCCATCCAGTTGTGTGAATCACTTGCCGTTCCTTCCCTCAACAGTCTGGACTTGGGAGCGAGTATTAGAAAATATCCGGGCCAATCACTGACTGTGTTTCCACTGTTTCCCTGACAACAGTGAAAGGCAGTCCCTGATTGGCCCATGTGTAGATGGTGACGTCTAACACATGCTGCGGGACTTTTCAAAGCGCCGTTCATTCAGAACGCCGTTAATTCTGCAGTTGACTAGTGATGGCCAAATGAAGCTTTCTGAAGCAGTGAGGCTTTTCAGCACATTGCTTTGCCCAAAGGTTCACTGCTCGAAGCTTCATTCAGTGCTCTGAAGTGTCTCCGGTTTAAGACGATTCCTTTTTTTGCTAATGACCTCACCAGCTACTACAACTACTACTAATTACCACTGCTTCTACTGCAACTAACTAATCTATGCTTTTAACAACCACTACTGCTGATTACAATCCAAACTCTGCTACGAACGCGCGAACCAAACTACCACCTACTACTACCACCTACCACCGCGTTTGTGTCGTGCTTTTATTTTGAAAAACGACACGCTAAATGAACCAGTCACGTTACCTGTGCAATGCGAGGCCTCGTTTGTCATCGGTCACGTGGTTTTTCAGCAAACTGATGCAAGCCTCGAAGGGGGGCTTCGTCCGGCAACGCCCCCTTCATACTCGGTACACGCCTCGAAGCCTCGGCTTCAAACGTCCCATCACTACAGTTGACTTTGCAAAAGTCGGCAGAAATCGTTTATATCCGCAGAAGAAGACGTAGAAGAAGACATAAAAGACATTGTTTGCTCGCACATGTTGAAATATTACCAAACCTTTACCTGATGCTTGAGAGCCCAGCAGGGAACATAGTTGCACACTGTGATGCCGTCAGATGTTTGGTTACGGTGATTGGTTACAGTAGTCTGTCTATCAAGGAAAGTACTCCCGCCCACTTTGAGGGCTCCCAATTGGCCGAAGTCCAGACTGTTGTGGGAAGGAATGGCAAGTGATTCACGCAACTGGATGGCCCAGCCAGGCTAGGTCTACACTACACTCTGCCAAAGAAAGGCGCCTGGTGCTCCCATTACATCAAGGCCTTAAGTCACTTGCTAGACTCTTCCCCTCTGTTGTCCCTCAGTGGTGAAATGACTGAAATGTATGATCTAAACAGTCACCTTCCACTTCTCAGACACTCAAGACCTATTTATTTGTCAACGGTGATGATGATGATGATGATGATGGTGGTGGTGGTGGTGGTGGTGGTGCTGATGATGATGATGATGGTGATAATGATAATGATGATGACAGTGATGATGGTGATGACAATGATAATGATGATGATGATGGTGATTATGATGAGGGTAATGGTCATGATGATGGTGATGATGATGATGTTAATGATGATAATGGTGGTGATGATGATGATGGTGATTGTGATGGTGGTGATGATGATGATGATGACGGTGATGATGTTGATGACAATGATAATTATGATGACAATGATGATAGTGATAATGATGATGGTAATGTCATGATGATGGTGATTATGATGATGTTGATGATAATCATGGTGATGGTGATGGTGATGATGATGATGATGATGATGATGGTAATGATGATGATGATGATGATGATGATGATGATGATATTGATGGTGATGATGATGACGATGATGATGATGATGATGATGATGATGATGATGATGAAGATGACGTTGATGATGATGATGATGATGATGATGATGATAATCAGTTTGTGGTACTTCCTCATGTTTTATCCATCTGTCTAGATCTTAACTTTTTTGTACCTTCTCTCAAATCTTTGTCACTTCGGACAAACGCGTCTTCTAAATGACATTGTAATATTGTAATTATCGCAGCCATTACAGTTTCATAGTCTCATAGTAGATATAGTCTCATAGTAGACATAATCTTCAGTAACTTTGGTCTCAGTTTTTTTTTTCTTCTAGTTTTTTCGAATTTGTTGTTACATCATCTTTTAAAAAATACTTCTTTTCTTCCTGTTACATCACCTACTGAATGAATATTTTGGGTATCCTTACTGCCAATGCCTTACAGCAGTCTTCCTTGTGACTTACCACTCAAGCCCAAAACATATCATGTACACAACTTCTCTTCTCTCAAGTTTAAACCGCTTCTGTCTTCACATAAAATTTCATATTTTTCATCCTCCACCTTCCTCCACTAGAAAGAATGGAGTATCACAGACTCAAGAGCACAGTCTTCAGCAAACCTGCAACAGGCTGAACCTCACAATCATAGACTGTATATACTATTCTATATACAGTCATTTACTTAATAAGGGAGAGTACCCACAGTAGAAAAAGCATCCTCAAGAAGTTGCATCATTATTTGTCCCGGTTCATTACCTTGTATGACTTGTGAGCTCTCTCAGACTTACACCCTGGCTCCACCTCTGAAGGTGTCAGACTTGATGTCAACTAAAGGTAAATATCTGCCAAGTTAAAGAACTGATAAGTGATGACAAACATGTTTAAGGACAGGAGGGCAGGTACTGCAGAGACAACTGTGTGTTAAAAACAAAAGTTTGCACAACAACAGTTTAAAGAAGTGTTAAAATCCAGTGACTGAAGCCTGCATCTACTGCATGTTCTTTCAGTCTGTGTTGTCCAATGTCACCCCCATGTGGCATTAGCTGTTACAGCATCAGAGGCTAAACAATGAGACTTCTTAAAGGTATATGTATGTATATAGTCCTACAGTAAAACTAGTTTTCAGTAAGGAAAAGTGCCATTTAGGATTGACAAAAATAAAACAGTCAGAAACCGTTGATTTGCTGACACCGTGATAGTGCATAGGTTCTTTTTTCATTATTTATAGCCAAGTGAAATTCAGTCTGAACTTTAATTCTAAGGTGCCTGCGAGCTGAAAGTCAAATATTGATATTAACATGCACACCACTTTTGTGTTGCATCAGAGTGTGTAGTGTCCTTTACAGGTCTTTAAGCGAAAACTAATCCCTTTAATCCTGTACTCACAGCGGACTGGCCACCCATACTCTCAGGCATGACAAAAGAAAATTGATTTCTTAATGTATTCTGAAAATCCGGTCAATTATTGTGACTTTCAGGCTGAATCAGCACTTTTTAATGTCTGAATTTGAAACAGCCTGACATAGATAAGAATGAGCCTGTCTGTTATACTTCATTTTAGACCTGTTTTAAACCTGAGACACTGTCAATGGGTTCCTAACAGCTAGATTGAAGTGCCTCCTTAGCGTGCAGCTGCAGCCAAAATTACTTCTCTGGAACTCTGAAGGAGAAGAAATATTTATCCCCCTTTATACCAGTCACTGATACCAGTAGTGTTTTTAATGAGAGATAAGTGACTTCAAATGAAAGTCTAAAAGGAAGAAGCATAACATGAAATTTTTAATTGAATTTACAGCAATCTCCTTGGCAGTGTCTTGACATTTGCGCAACAGAGGATCGACAAATGTAATTTGTCTATTTCTATGTTTTTAGCACAGTTTACTTATCTTGAAAATAAGCAAGAGTGATGCCAAAGTAATCACAATATTTATTAAAAATTCAAGTTTTTTCAATGACTTAACTGCTTTGTTTGACATTCAGTACTCACAAAGGTGAGAAGAGCGGTCATATTTCGATTAAATCTGTGAGCAAAATCCGATTCAGTCTTTGCTCAGTCTTTTTTTTTGATCATCCCATCAAAGCAAAAGTCAGAGTTTCTGGGTAGATTCAAGCTAATTTTTCAGCCAAGTGCTAATGCGAAATTGTAAATAATACACACTGTAAGGGTTTTTGCACAAACTTTAATACCATGAGATTACTATGCCTTATATTTCAAATCTTAAACAATCACTTGCATTCAAAATTCAGACAATCACCACTTCTTTAATTGTTGCCCTGAGTCACAAGTATTACAAGCAAGAAATCAACAAACATTTCTTTTCCTTGGGCAAGACAGTGAATCTTAAACTCGGCCCTGCAGGCGCTGCCCTCAGTAGACTCCTGAGAGTCTAAAAGATGTGCCAAAATGTACAGTCGTTTACTATTTTTTTAAAGTAAACAAAAAAGTCCTTGATTCAGTTTTCTGTGGCAGAGACAGAAGAAGAATGGACGCAAACAAGAGTGGGACTATTTTTCTTGTTTCTGTGTGCTTAAGAGGAATAACAAAGTCAGACAAAAATCATCACCAAACCAAAGATTTGACCCATTTTTGATTACTTCAAGAGAAAAATCATATGTGTTAAAAAGTCCGGTGGCTATTCTGGCTTTCGAGGCCTGATGTTGTATTTGTTAACAACTTTAAAAATATAGTGTCATGATGCATATTGTCTCAAATATGTTGACAGTTTTGGGGAACATTTAATCACAGTATTTTTAGATGACCCCACTTTAACTTTGACTTATAATCTTATCCAATAATTAAAAAAAAGGAAAAAAAATTATCAAAAGAATGTAATCCTTCTGATTTCAACATACCAGACCTAAACTTCGACCCATCCAGTTTTAAAGTGCAGATAATGAGCATGTTTGATCCATCCAGAAGAGAAGAAATGAACCACGTGTGTCTGGGTTTGTAGCACCTCGTCATTGACCTGCCGAGAATATAACAGTCTGCTGCAGGAGGAGGAGCTATCTGCCTCCTCTGCGCTGAACAACAATGGTTCCTGCCACAATGTCATACACAGTCCTGTTGTGCTGGAAGAAGAGGAGAGTGATGAAGACGGGAAAGAGGAAGGCGATGGAGAAGTTTTTGTTGAGAGCCCGCACTGTGGAGCTGTGAAGAGGAAGACAGGAGAGACAGCACATGATGTAAGACAACTAACAACTAACAAAGCAGGTTATTTTTAAGGGCTCTTTCTAGCTGTTAAAATTGTTTTGTTTTTACTACCACTTCAAAAAAGCAGCGAAAGAAGCTAAAATGAGACAACTCACGCAGAGAGGGAAACATTAGACGCTGGGACAACAAAGACTCGGTTTGGTTGGACCAGAGTGGATGTGTCACATGTCACCACTCGCAAGCCAAGCAGGAATTTCCCCGGAGTGGCACCTCCGGCGCCCCAAATACAGATCACCTGGAGGAAGACCCGAAATGACACATTCACATTCACAGTAGGATACTTAATGATGAAACTCAGTCACATACAGGAGTTAGAAGCTATTAAATCAATATCCATGTTTATTCAAACAGGGTCAAACTGAGCAAGACATGAATAAAAAAAACATGCCAGATGGAATCAGTTTGAGTCTAAACGTCTCAGAGGAATCGCTCACCTGGGAAAACAAGCTACTGACACACTCGATTAACAAGAGCTGCGATATATGATTTCATATCAGGCAACTGTGCATGCAACGTTGCATCACTGTCCTCTGTGGGCAGCACTGTTGTGCTGTACAACTCTGACTCTTTTAATTGAAGAAGAACAAGCGCATGTAAGGCTGCACGATATTGGAAAAAAATAATATTGCGATTTTTTCAACCCTGCGATATATATTGCGATATTAAAAATACAGTATTTTCACCAGATGACCTGAATAGCACTTAATGTTATGCTGCACTGCTGAAATCTTGAGGACAGTTAATCTGCTCTGATCTTACCTCTTTTTGTGAATGTTAGTAGAACGGCTTCTGTCTGTCTCAGAGATATTTTTAGCTTTTATTGTGCTGGGACGTTATTGTGGCGACAGATGAACACAGAAGACGTGTTTTGGTCGACATCATCCTTCTTTTAACCGAAATAATTCCAGATAACTGACTTTCCTTTTCTTTTTGGCAACAAATCTTCATTTTCGGTGGTTTTCGCTTGTTCGTTGTTCATTTTGCGATCGTTGTTGTTGTTGTTAGCGGTGTTGTGCCGAGAAACGCATGTCCTCCGAGAATTGCATGCACCTCGCAAAACGCGCACTGCTTATAGTAGAGTGGTCCACGGAAATATACAATTTAAAACCCATACAGTTCTTATTTGTTGGGCTTAACAGTCAGTTAAGTTCCGAAAGTAATTCTCAGCGGACACACGTCTCCCTCCATGTGCAGAACATGTGCAGGGGTGGGTTTTCTCCTCCCTGATTTTGATTGACAGCTGGCAGGGCAGTCTGATTGGCAACTGAGAAGTGAGTCTGATTGGCAACTGAGTTAAGGACGAAGGCGATTGGTGGATCGCTGCACAGCACATGCAGAGTCACATGGAGTGTATCTCAGTCGGTTACCCTTGAAATTAAATGAGTTCATTCACCTCCAATATCGCAGGCTCTGCGATGTGACTATCGCACACACGTACATCGCGATGACGATAGTCAAACGATATATCGTTCAGGCCTAAGCACATGTGATGAAAATGATGAAAAATATGATTACAGGGGGTTTATTTTCAAGAAAAAGGGGAGGAACAAGGTGCAGAATATACAAAAAAGCAGCATTTCAGTGATGATCAGCTTAAATCAACAATATGTTATGATTTTGGATTACCAAGTTTGCTGATTTTGAGGTAGAACAATGTCTGACTCACCTCATAGACACAGACCAGCACCCTGTAGACCAACGCTACAACCATCATCTTCTGCAGGTCCTCCATAGACGTGTTCTCATCGATCTCCTCCACGATGAACTGGGTGACAAATTTGGCGATGTCCCTTCATAAAGCAGAGATAGAATACTTTGGAATTCACTCATGACAGTTCAGGTAGTATTGGTCTCTTTATCCTTTTAGCTTTAAAGATCTATTTTTTCTGAATGGTGTTGACGGCATCACTCACTTCATACCACTAAGATGCATGATCCAGAGGACAATTGTGGCTTTCACACAAAACAGGATGAAGAAGTCCACAGTCTCAGCCAGGAACCTCTGCAGAGGAGAGGGGATAGTGTACTCCCGTCCTACAAAACAGATGAAAAATACAAATCTCTTTTATTTCTTTGTGATGCTTTTTCCTTTGACATTAGTCTTAGGTGTGAATACAAAACGATCATGTTGCACTTCGACACAGACTTTTATTTTGAAGGGTCACAATCAGATAGCACAGCAGCTATTTGTAATGCTTGTGAACATGTCCAGAACATCACAACAACTATCATCCTTAGCAGTACCACAACAATACATGTATCATTTCATGTCCATTTGTGTCAGAAATAATAATAGTAACTAGGGATCAAAAATCCAATACTGTACATAGGGGAGACCGAGGCTTGTTGTCACATGGGTAAGTTGTCACATTGCAATTATCTTTGCCACCAGAGAGCACAACTAAAAAGTGGAATACTAGTTTTATTCCTTTACATGGTCAGGGTTCGTGTCCTGTCTGAGAAGAGAAATGCGCATTGTGAGCTGAGATGAGCGCCAATCAACCATTTTGCACAACCCAAAGTAAGAAAAACTTTATATATTTTAAAATAAGCTTCTTCCAGATAAAAATCCCCAAAGTGAAACATGTGGACTTGTTAGAGGAGACATTAAGGCATCCTGTCATATCTCAGTCATTGTCCTGTTTTAAGATAACTTAAAGCTAGAGCTAGAATTAGCAAACATGGTAGTTTGGGGAAACATGTCTCACATTTTGGGGTTAGTTGTCACATGTTTAAAAGGGATTAAAATTAACATTGAGAGTCGGCAGTTGTCATATTGAAATTTTGACTTACGCAGAAAATAGTGGTTTAAAAGAGAGGAGAAAGCCAGAAGACATGGTCAGGAATTACAAAAGAAAAACAGAGCAAGGCAGTGCAGTACCTGATGTGATGCTGAGGGCAGTCAGACAGGTGACCCTCATTAATAAATCAATCTGGAGTACAATAAAGGACTTAAATGTCAACTACCATACCGTGTCTCGGTACTGCAAAACATTCACCCCAGATGAAATACAGGATCAGACAGCTCTCCAAACTCCAGAGCATGTTGCGTAATGTTTTATGTTTATGTTTCTTCAATGGCTATGTTCAATGACTTCTTCTAGCTCAATGATAAACATTTTCTGTGTCTGACTTTGATGTTCACTTTCAAGTAATAAAATGAGAACAAAAAAATGTCTCCTTGTTTTATTATCTGCAAAATCCACTGTGACATCTTACCCCATATAGTGAGACAACTTACCCGATGGTGGGGCAGCATGTCACACATGTTCACACTCTCTCTGCACTGACACAAGATATGAAAATGACATGAATACTAAATATATACCTGAGTCTTTTCTTTCATCTAGTACACATTTTGTTTGTATATTATGTATTGATTTAAAGAAATATATAAGAATGTAAAAAGTGTGACAACAAGCCTTGGTCTCTTTGATTTCCTGGGGGCTGCCAACCCTGACACACCCCTCTCTGGACATGCCCCTGGTGATTGATACCTGTCACAATCTTAATATGCCCAGTTGTGACAATGACATATATTGTTTATTCTAATACAACTGATTTATTTAATGTTATTTAAAGTGTAATGGAGTTAGCAGAGCTCTCAGACAAGCAATGGAGTAACTGAGTATTTAAGCTCGTTTCCTCGAAGCTATTTCCTTAAGCCTGCTTTCTGTCAGACTCATGACCAGGCTAAAGCCCACACATTAGTGGAGGCTGAACACTGGGTTATTTTGGATTAAGTAGGTCACTGATGACTACAAAGACTCTCTGTCAAACAGAGACATACCTGCCTGAGGTGGGTTCCCGTTCTGCTGGTGAACTGGCCGGCCATCAGAAGCTGTAGCCGGGGTGGTAGCTAAGCTCTGCCCGGGTTGAGAGGAGGATGCTGGGAAGGGGCTGAAGGTGTAAGGGTAGTTGTACCAGTTTGCCGGGTCGTAAGTCTGCTGTCCAGAGGTTGTAGCAGGTGCACCCGGAGACTGAGCGCTGGTCCCCGGCGGTGGGAAAGTGCAGGGCGGAGGAAAAGGGAGAGCAGTCAGAGTCACCCAGCTCTGCCAGTAATACTGCCACATCCACTGCTGCAACTTTGCGCAGTATTCCGTTGTTGCGCTGGTTGGAGGCGGTTTAGTGTCATTTTCAGGACTGCCACCGTAATTATCATCTGTCTTACCCGCGGACATTTCTCAACACTTTCTCAGTCTCCCTTTAAATTAACGTAAATTCCTGGTCAACGTCTTTAATCATTTCTTCGCTCCGTTCATTAGCTTACCACCCGGTTACCAGCAGCGCGAACCAACTGTGTTTGTTAGTACAGGGATTTCCAGGACCTTTACATGTCACAGGTTGGTTCTTTTATCGTAAAAGTTTCTGTTTAATTAAGTAATGCGATTACGTGCACATAAAATGAGACGTTCAATGTACCTGCGTCGAAAATATTCACGAGAAACAATCACGTAAAAGAAGTAGCTAATAACAACCCCCCTACTTCGAAAAATGGTATAGACCATTTAAAGGCGCATCCTTTCCCCAATGACAGTATTTTGTTTTATAAAAACTAAGCTAATAAAATAATTTAAAACACAACTGATAAAAAAGGTTAGAAATTCAAAAACAGATGAATACATCTTACTTAGCTGTGTTGTTTTAAGGATTTATCTACAACTATCGACAAAGTTCTGCCCTCTTTTTGTTAGCCTGTTGATACTTTGTGGATATATCAATTCATTTTACAGAGGCTTGTTTGTTTTAGTCAGATCAAATCAATGAATATATTACCTTTACTTATTCTGCTGTCAAAAAGGGAAGATAATGATGGTTTTACATAGGCCTGAAGTTACGCACATCTGTTTACCTGTGCTGTATGAACAAAAGTGTACACTATTATAACTAAATTTTGAGAAAACTCCTCTTGCCTGTTTGTCATACATATAATAAACTAAATGTATTTTAACATGTTGAACCTACTACAGTGTTAATGACTAAATGTCCATACTCATGGTCTTCATTCACCACAAGAGAGCAGCAAAGGCCAACTGATACGATATAACATGAACTAAACTATCAGAATATTCTTAAATTTTTGGTTGAAGCTGGGCTATTTGTGTGGGTTTCTTGTTATAATTATATAGCACAAATGCACTGTAGGATGTGCACTGATTTGAAAATAATTGTCTGGCTTTTTAAGGTGTATTTTTCGCCTCAGGTAAGAAACAGTTTTTTTGTGTGTTTATTTGTTTGTTTTTTTCTGTTATGAACAAATTTCTGGCCGTTTAGACATACATCCTAGAGGTGAAGGGTGTACAGATTTGGCTTGCCTCCACATTCAGGGATTTTGGCCATCTGAGTTCAGTGACAAACAGCAATCTGCCACAGAGGCCACTGGGGTCACAAACTCAAAACTCTGTAAAGAGCTGCGGAAACGACTATGATTCAAAAGACCTGTAGCCAGTCAGTGATGAAAGGCTATGTTTTTCACTCCCTCTCACCCTCTCACACACATACTAAAATGCACATGTTGTCAATCTGTTTTTAAAACTCCCCTTTACTTATGACTCAAAAATGCAGCTGTTGCATATTTTTGTCTTCACTCTCGTCTACATTTCAACTTTCCTCATACCTATGTCCTTCTTTTCTTTTGCCCTCGCTCAATCTCTTATCTTACTCCCCCTCCCCTCTGATGACTAAAGGGGTGAGTGAGTGAGTGAGTGAGTATGTGAGTGAGTGAGTGAGTGAGTGAGATGGGGGGGTTGTATTTGCTGACTGGGCTGGCCTGGCTCTGTGGGTTAGGTGTTAGGTCTGCCAGTTCTAAATGATTGTGCCTGAACCATTGAATGGAGCCAGTGAGGCAGAAGCCAATCCGACTCCAATGAACGTTATCCCCGCCGACAGAGGCCATACGATGACTGTGCCCAAAGGTAATCAGGCCCAAATAAAAGCCGTATTTGGCAAACGCTGACCCCCATAGAACCCAACAACCTGCTGGGATTATTGCTGTGGAGGTGTCTGTGTGTGTGTCTGTGAGTGTGTGTGTTTGCTGAGAGAGAAATGTTTGGGTGGGTTTTTTTACAGTCATCTTATAAAGGAACTCATGATGCCATAAATATGATTTGATACTACATGTTGCAATGCATTACAATACCATATCATGTGATAAGATATTATACATTATTATACTTAATGATATGATACCATCAATGCTAAACTGTAGGACAGAACACAAAACATTACAATATTTACACAATGATTCCCTTACAAAACAATGTCAGATGATAAAATACTCATAAATATAGAGTATTAAAGAATGCAATATGTTGCGATGGGATGAATGAGATTGCATATCATTTCCTATAAAGAGATATAATACAGTACAATACAAAAAGATATGATACCAGTGAGATGATACAATATCATGTGATACGTCATGTCACATCACATTACGTTAGGTCACAACAGGATATGATATGATATGATATGAAATGATATGATATGAAACTTTACAGTACAGTATGGAAACACCCTACATGATATGACATGATAAGTTATAGAATGCTGATTTTCATTACAATAAAACTTGATATCACACAAAACGAAGATATGATACAGTGCAATAAAAATACCAGTGAAATGATACAATATCATGTGATACAAACAAATGTCATTTCACGTCACATTACGTTGGGTTACAACACAATATGATATGTATGATACAGTATGATATGATATGATACAATATGATATGATACGATATGATATGATATGATATGATATGATACAATATGATATGATATGATATGATATGATAAGAAGGGATATGATATGATATGATATGATATGATACAATGAGATGCTATACAATACAGTATGGCAACACCCTACATGATATGACATGATAAGTTTTAGCATGATGAGTTGCAATGCAATAAAACTGGATATCATACAGCACAAAGAGATGTGATACAGAAAGATAGTGGTATCACAACATGACATTACATGATATAATATGATATGATACAAAACTACTGTACTATACAATCAAACAATGAGATACAAAATGATACAAAAAAGCTATGAAATGATGCATATTATCATGGGAAAAGTGTGTGGGCCTCAAAATACATCTGCATGCATCAGTAAAAATGCACTGAAATAGCAGGCAAAAAACATGAGCCAAATAGGCATGTGATAAGGATGTCTTAAGCAAATATTGACCATACTGTCACTTCAACAGAACTCACAGTACGTACCTTATTGGCTGAAATAAAAGCTAATCTAATGTACCCTTTTTCTTGTGTAAACACAGGTAATAGCTCTGTGAAAGCCACAAGATCACCACTTTTTACAACTCCTATGAGGGAAGTTTTGGAATATTTTAAATCCCAAGTGCCTCTTGATTTATGGCTCTTAACATTAATATTTCTGTGTATGTATCATCTGCTATGGCTGCAACATAAATGCCTGAATGATTTATACACATACAGTTATACGCACACAGACAGGCCATGCATATATATCTGAGTATGTAGCAGACAGGGAGGTGTGACCAAACATTGGCACAAAAAGTTCACACAGTTCATACAGTTCTTTTGAAAAGGTTTGCTGTGTCTTTACAGGATGTTTCTATGCTACTAGACATACACTAAGGACACAAGGTCACCAAAGGCATTTTAGGAACTGAATTCTCTGTGTATTTGGTCTTAATCTGCTGTGTTGACATGTTCTCCAACGTTTAGTCCTTGAAATTGAAAAAATCATAGTAGGTGCTCCAACAGACAGTCACAGGTATCTTTCTGTTCAGGGCGCAAACACAAAAAGTGCTTGTAATCAAAAGTGTTGTCCAAATTTACTTTTACTTTGCCTGTTACCAATTAAAATTCAACTTTGATCTTTCATACATAAAAGTATTTGGCACTTTGCTGCAGATGGAAGATTAAAAAAAGAGAAAAAGAGGTTGTTTCGTACACCTTGTATTTGTAAGGCTAACATGACAGTGGTATCAATCTTCTAATCAAACTCTTGACAAGAAAGTTATCAACAGTCAACAGTTCTCTTATCAATATTAATAGGTTAATGTTTCAGTTCTGTTTATTTTATCTTGGACATAAATTGGTGAGAAGCACCCTCGTTTGAGTGCTGACACTGTGGGCTGAAGGATCGGATAAGTGACTCCTACAGTGGAATTTAGCCTGTTTACTGAAATCCCCCTTAGATAACACTATCACTTAAGTCTTCGCCAATTCTGATTATGAACTCTCGACAAAAAGCAGAGTCTCTCGGGTGTTCAAAAGTTAAAATTCTGATACAGGGTTCATACCTAGTGAAAAGATATCCCATTCCTGGTCATGCTTGAAGTCCAGATTTAGCTTTTCTGCAGATTTTGCGTCACTCTGCTCTCATCAGCTTCTTACTGGAATATTGCAGTGTATGACCGCGCACAAATAAGAGCACAGAAACACAGAAACACAATAACCTACCCCCACAGAATGTGTCTGTGGGTCACAGGTTACAGAAATGAACAAAGAGGGGGTCAGTCATCCAGGGAATGTGGGGAAAAGGGGTCACTCAGGTCCTGTTTTTAAAAGTGGGAGGGTAGCAGTCATGTGATTGATGTATTAGTCACAGCGACTGTTTATGTGATGCAAAGAGACTAGAGCACACCACAATGAATTCTCATTAGAGTAGAGTCTTGGCATGTCAAGTCTCAAGTATGTCTTTACAGCCTCAAATAGGATTAATCTCTTTAATTCATTGATTCCACGCTGAGATCAAAGACCAAAACATCTACACAGCAACTGATTTTGTTTGATTTTCTCTTGTATCTTTTCAAATCAGCCTCATTCTCTAAATTAACAAGGCTGCGATGATGAATACAACTTCAGTCAGTCAAACCAGAGAAAATATGTGACTGTGCGGCAAAGAACTGAGAGGAGGAAAAACTGTTTCACTTGCTGAGACAGCAGAGGGAAGTCCTTGCTACCTTTGGCCCAGAGAGGAGAAAAATCCCTCTGAGATTCAGCTCTGTCTTATGTGTAACAGTGAGAACCAATTAAGTGAATTACGTCTGCTTCCCTGGAGCCCTGACAGGAACACCCAAGGGGAAAGTGGGAGCACTGCTGCTCTCCCAGCGACTCCTGCTCGAAGAAAATTCCCCTTAACTCTTTATCCTTCTTCATTTCCTGTACCT